TAAAAAATACTTCATTGTGGTAAATGAAATATTAATGTGATCTATGTAAGAATTTTTCTTTTCTCCAGAGTTGTAAGTAATCCTTACGAAATAGAAAAAAAAAATCAATATTATTTTAGAAATCTGTGTAGCTGAATAATGGAAAATCCATTATTGAAACCAAAACAACTTTTTATGAAGTTTAAATTCGCACGCCTGTGTTATTCTCGCTTTACAGTTGTTGAAAAATAAATGAAACGCTTCACGTAACATTGACAATCTGTAGATTTCAACAGAATATTTATTTCTCTCATAAGGATTTAATAAGAAATACTAAAACATTTTACGAAAAACAGAAACCACTCATTTTAAAAATTATCAATTTAAGGTACTCACCTTACTTCTGCCGATTCTTTACGAATATAAATTGTTGTAAACTAATAATGTGGCGTTGTGTATAAATAGAAATGAACACCACAGAAATAACAACGTTTTGATGGGTCTACTTTTGTAAGAAAGTTTGAAAACACTGACAAAGTACATCTGGAACGATACTTAACATTTCGCAATACATATACACCATCAGTATCAGCAATTTTCCAACACTAGTTGTTCACGTGATGAGACACACACGTCATAGTAACCTTTGTCCATCGGCAATAGCCTCGAAGAAGGTTCTGTTGAATCATACTAAGATGGGAAACGACCGAAAGTTTGGATGTGTGCTGTGAATATACTTCACGCACAGCAAAGGACGTGACCATATTGATTACACCACATGTTAATGTCACTTTGGATAGTTTCCACGAGATTCAGTAAAAAACACTAATGCATGTCTTAGATAACCACCGCTCTTAACCTATATGAATGGAAATTCCCCCACGGAAAATGTAATGAAAGTTAATTGCTTGATGGAAAACTTTTACCGATAGAAACACGCCTACACATCGTCATTGTCTGTATAGAAAAATAAAAATGATAAAGAAAATTGGGGGAGGGGGGTATTAAATTTTGTTTCCTACCTAGGTTAGGCTTAAGCTCTGGATGTTTAGTATTGTGATATACACATGTGCTCAGAGTATTCCAAATGTATTTCGTTACAGTCATTTAACATAATGCCACGTAACGAATATAACTTGAACACAATGCTACACAATGGGCTTTCTGTGCTGGTGCCCACCACGAGTATAGAAACCAGGTTTTTAGCGTTACAAGTCTGCAGACTTACCGCTGTGCCATTGTGGGTTGGGGGCGTAAAGAAATCTAATAATTATAACAGAGTAAAAATGAAATTCGACTTGCTTTGCTTTTTAGACATTGGATTCTGTATCTAGTTTAAATGCTTATGGCACGGCATGGCCAGATGGTGAGGACGCTCGACTCGTAATGTGAGGGTCGCGAGTTTCAATCCCCGTCACACCAAACATGCTTGCCCTTTCAGCCGTGGGGGCGTTATAAAGTGACGGTCAATCCCACTATTCGTTAGTAAAAGAATAGCCCAAGAGTTGGCGGTGGGTGGTGATGACTAGCTGCCTTCCCTCTAGTCTTACACTGCTAAATTAGGGACGGCTAGCGCAGATAGCCCTCATGTAGCTTTGCGCGAAATCCATAACAAACAAACAAGCAAATGCTTATAAGAACCGAGTCTTCCCAAGATTGTATAACTATGTAATTATTTCTATTAGAAGAGCTGCTAAAAGTTATACAATAATAATTGCATCTAATAATAAATCGTCTTAATTATGAGTAGCAGGCAAACTATTGTTACGTATCTGCTTGTTTGTTGATTTTCCGTATAAATTGTTTCCGAGAAACTTCAGCGATACAACTCCTTTCTTAATTCAAACTAGTTTATTCTTTCTCGTTACAAACTTTGTAATACACTTAATTTCCACAGTCACTTTAAACTTTTAGAACTACTACTTTTATAACTATAACTACTTTTATAA